TAAGGGTCCCCTAGGTTAAGGACCGGGCTCCTAGGAAGGGTCCTAGGGAGCATATTCACAATCATCATCATCATCATCATCATCATCACCATCACAACGATCATCAACGGAATCACAATCGCTCTCCTTACCGGCCTCAGAGCCAGCAAGCAGAATGAACATCCCAGCACGGTAAACTCTCAACCATGGCAATCCAAATGCTCGGCTCCTGGACTCTGCATGACGTGGCAGTCCATTCCCCCTCTATTACAAATCCGCCCACGCCTTACATTGAACATCAGCCCCCGATGCGTACTGTGGGCTACTGGAATATTGACTGTCAGGGATGGTGTGGTGTTTCATATTCGGGAGAAGTGATTTGTTTATCACACCTACCTGCACAGGCGTTTAGGGTTCAAGGTTTGGCAACGTCCTCATGAGTATCACCTCACGACTCACAACATTGCTGCGCAATAGTCGGACAGGTCGCCAAAACAGGGATGTGATGGGCTGGAACTTCATATAGCTCCTCCCCCACTCGACGCTGGAGATTTGAGGTTGAAGAGTGCTTGCTTGGTCTCAATACGATCCATCTAGAATTCTCGACCTTAGAACCCTATGCCTCGTTAGGGGGTGGGGGTGGTTTTCCGTCTCCTTATCAAATCTCGAGACAATCTCTATGCATCTCGAAACAATCGCTCCGGCTGGACTCAAGAAAACTCTATGTAATCTCTACATGTCCAGTTTACACTTCTCTGCATTCTTGTTGAAGGTTTTCTCGACAGATCTTGACATGATGTCTTGACAGGATGTCACATCCGGCCACGAAAGTGAGTGCCACCACCACCATCGCCGCCGCCGCAAGCCCTAGCTAGGTTCTTTCTCTCCTTCCCTGCATAAGAACAAAGATGATCTCAAACCTGTTATATGCTTCCATGCTATTACTTCAACGCTGCCTGCCGTTGCATTGCACATCCTGCGTGAACACGATTTGCAATATCTTTCTACGATTCCTTATGCCATTCGTTTCCCACTAGCACTACCCGCAAGACCCAAGCCCCAATTACACCACAGGAGGGGCACTAGGGAGGGCCCACATGGTATCCTTAGATACTCCAAGACAATCCTCTCATGGTCCAAGGGTTTAGCAACCGCAGGGTTCCTTGCTCAGCTCATTGACGCCCGGCCAGATGTAGACTTCCCTGTCCTAAGAAGCTTCAAGAAGCAGTAGTGTCTTCTTCCCCACAAAACCTAATCACAATCACAATCACCACTCAATGCACCCAAGCAACATAGAGATATTTCATGCCCAGAACTTCCAGGATTGTACCGCGGGATACGAGCATGGACACAGAGAGCTCCACGGATCCGGGCACCAGTTCTTGCAGCACCCAATTGGACGCAGAGAAGTCAGGAACATGCGACATCCTTGGCTGGCCAACGAAAAGCTCTCTGAATGCTGGTCTGATGCTTTTATGCTCTGCTATGCTCAACTTGAATGTTCGACTTGAAGCTGTCCCAGGCGCACATCCTGCGCATTGTAGCATATCCAGGAATCTCTCCCGAATTCGCCCTGAAATACAACGTGGGATCAGCAAAGATGTTGTAACTCTGGGAAACTGGACTCTGATAGCACGTGGCCTGCGAAGGCTTCAGAATGCAGGGGTATCTGGCTTGCTCGGGCTTCTGGAAGTGCCGCGGGAGGAAATCCTGCATTCACGAGCACAGGGCTACTTGTCAACATGTCATAAGATCCGGCAGGATCCTTGGATTATTGCTTAGAGTAATAACTCCGAAAACAGGTAGGCACCACTAAGCCCCACAGGTCTAAGATTCTTTCACCCTAAACAGTACGCCCTACCTTAAGCCGTAATCCCTGAATCCGCATCCCTAACACCGAAACCACGTCGATCCAGCTTTCCCACTTTGGCGGCATAGTCTGGCAGTTTTGCCTGCCATCCCAAATGCTATATGGTTTGGGGCTTGGTTGGAGGTCTAGATTTAGAGTCACAGTTTTCAGGGTGTAAAGGGTTCAGGGTCCAGCTTTTGTTGCAGCACCTTTTTAGGCTCAGGGTTAAGTGTTGAGAGGTCATGATCTATCGGGTGCAGGGTCTGGATTTCAGAGTTTGAAGCTTGTTGCTCAAAGTGGGTATTTCTCAAAGCTTCTACAAAGGCCGACATTACAAGGCTCTGCTGAAGAGTGAAAATGGCTTTCGCAGCGATGCTAAGGGAGCGTTAGGCAGTCTCTGCTCGAAATTCTTCAGTGCAACACCTGACAGCCTTCATTCCAATGATCTTTCCCAGAAAAGGACGCTACATGACTTGAAAAACATTATCTCTATGTCATGCTTCAGAGATCGTTGCGTATGAACCCGTGGGCCCACCCACCTTGCTTACAAATCCCTGTCGCCGCCCTTGTTTGAGACCCCTTTGACGCGGGTTTGGGCTGAATAGATGAGCCATTTTCTTTTTCATTAACCCTATATTACCCCTATATACTAGAGTAGTTTCCATTTTCTTTTCCATTATCCCTATATTACCCCTATATACTATAGTAGTTTCCATTTTCAACTCATCAAGTCATCAAGGGTTTGTCGTGTTGGGGTTTGTCGCGGGACCATAAGCCGGTGCTTTTGGGCTCCGATATAGGTAGCGCTATCAGCCAGCACCCTAAACCCTCAACCCTAAAGGTATTGCGAGCCTGACATGTCCAAAAAAACTACCCCTCAAACCTATCTCCACCCCTACAATCTACTTGAAAGGACAGGGGTCTGACCCCTACCGAGTACCCTCAAAAGTGGCCTTACAACACCAACCCAGCTTCTCGCCTTGTCGCCCAGGCCTTCGATGACCTGCAGGGAGGCTCCGCGAGCCCCCTACAGTCCCCCTTAAGTAGATAGAATATGGCTTTGGGAATATTATTATAAGATCCCCATATACCCCATGTTCTATCTACTTAAGGGGGGACTATAAACCCTCTAGACCCTACGCTAGCTGCCGAGTTGCCTGGCAAAAGCACTTCCAACGTCTAAGTATAACAGGATTACCTATGCACCTAACACTCTAAACCCCAATCTGTAAACCACCGATCCCCATCCATGTTTTCAAAACACCTCTGCCTCCGGGGAGGAGGTAATCACCTTCCAGCCTGCAGCCACAAGGGGCTTCCGTAGCCGGGCGATCCTGCAGCTACGCTGTAGGGGCTCAAGTATTTAAGGTCAGGGCTCCAGTTTCAGGATTCAGGGATGAAAGTGTAGGAACCCAGAGATGTAGGTTTTGGCTTACGGCTTTCATCCACAGAAAACCAAGTGTGGTGTCCTAGCAAACTTGAGATCTCAGCATTCAGGATCTCGTTTTGGGGGAGTACAATGCGTTCCTCGCCCGCACCCCATGAGCGAATAAACATGTTAAGATAAACATGTTAAGAACCTCCATACAGAAGGGGAAGTATAAGGCGGGGAGTAGGGGGTACTATATTGGTTAGGGCAGGTGACTAATTAAGCTTTGCTTTGCTTTGAGGGGCCGCAAGGTTACGTTAAGTAAGACCCTGAAAAAGCTCCGGGAAACCCTGTAACAGCATTGAATCCTAAGCTCATACATAGGGCTGATAGGGGCCCACCTCAAAGGAGCCGGCTAAGACCCAAACCAGGACTCTTGAGACCCATATACAACCGATGAAATGTTGTTGGGGCACATGAGGGCCTACAGGCCTATTGGGGGGCCTGGGTTTGGCAGGCTCCTTCAAGGGGTGCCCTTGTCAACCTCATGAGAAATCCTACACCACAAAGCTTTCCTCCCAAGCCTGCCTCCGAGCAACATCGAGGCTTGGCTAGGATTCCCACATTATGCTACAAGCCGCCCGTGGTGCTCTCGATCTTCCCTAAACCCTACCAACCTCAAGCCCAATCCCAAGCCCACAGACGTAGTCTCAAGACCCCATACCCTAAATCCTGAAGCACTGAACCCTCAATCCCAAACCTTAAGCCCTAAGTGGCGCCCTTCTGCCCGCTTCCCGAAAGACGCCTCAACGCCATCTGGTCGCTGCAGGGAAGCAACCAAGGCTCCCCTGCGGAATCAAAGATCAGCAAAATTCTTTAGCTCGGAGTTCAAGGCTCAGAATTAAGGCTATGCGGGGTTCTGGGAGTGCTTAGTGTTCGGGGAGGAAGTTCTCATGCATAGCGCTTGACGATTGTTTTTGTTGCTGCTAGGGCCGAATGTGCTGAAGATGCTTGACTGCCAGATCTCCAGATCGAGATTCAGGACCGCGGATCACAAGTTTGCTGTAAGCAGCGCTGAGGAAGTCCCAAGGTAACGTACCTTCACAACCTAAGAACTCCACGAACTAACTGGCGTAAAGTTAGGCTGTGAGGCGCGCGCGTAGAGCATACGACATGCCTTCAATCCTTAACACTACACCCAGAGCCCTATAGCTCACAGCCTGAAGCCATAAGTCCCAAACCGGTCCTGCTGGCGGTGAGGGTATCGGACGCCGGCCGTCCCAGCTAAGGTTGTTCCGCGCCTTGTAGTGCGTAGGTTGTGAGATGTGGAGTTTATGGTCTGGGGCTTACGCCTTTGAATGTCTCTCTTGAACGGTTGTAGGATGTTGAGGCTTCTGGGGTGCGGGTAGATGAGCAGTATTAGGGGTTGCACTTGCCCATGGTTTCCCAGTAGAATCACAACCGGCTCAGGAGGTGTACAAGCGGAACTCATGCTGAGCAAGTCCAAAAACAGGCAAGGTACCTAAACCCCGTACTTCAAACCCTCAATCCTCAACCCTCACTAAACTCTGAATCCCACACGTGTAGCCCGGCAAAACGTCATCCAAGCGCCCAGCTGAAACATTAAGCGCGCGGGCATGGCTATCCCAGCCTCGGATAACATCAGAATCCTACCCTTCAAGGCAGTTCCAGGGTTCAGTTTTGCTTGTTTTGCTTGGGCTCTGTAGGGCGTCCACCCCTGGTATATTCATGGTGAGGGAGAAATGTTTTGGGGCAGGATGTGGGGTTTTGAGGCTTGAGGGAGCGGTTTGGGCCTTTGCGGTCTAAGCTATGGGCTACTTAGGCTACCTACTGCCAATCCGGCCAAACCTCGCTCTTAGTCGAGTGCACACAATGATCCCATAAGGTTCCAGAACGCACAGGTGCTCACCAACTCACCAACACAAACACGCAGCATAGTCGTGCAAAGCAACAAGCGAAACTGAAGGATGATCCTCAGCAATGCTGTCAATGGCCGTTAATCTACCCTATACCCTACACCTCGTCTTGGGAGGATCGCCCTAAACCCTAAATCCGACACGGTAAGCCCTCGACAGCAAATCCTACCAAAAAACGATGCTGTGTGCTTCCTTGCCACCCTTGGGTGGAACCCAGTGGAAGCGTTTTGCATCCTTGCAGCTCATGGAGACTGGCACCTTCCCTGACCAACCCTCTTAGACTACCCCTTAAAATCTAAACCGAACCCAAACCCTCAACTCAGACGGAGACGGACCGTAGGGGGTAAGGAAGGGGCCCAAGATTGAGGTTCCGGGCTTCGGAACGCTCAACCCTAAACTAAACCCTAGAGCAAGCGGACGGAATTTTGTCAGTCCTGGTACGGTTTGTGCCCGCATAACACCAAGGTCGCCACTGGACTCGTCTCCTGAAGCCCAGAACTTCTACACGGTTTAAGGCTTCGTGGAATGGAGTCTTCAATGCGCACACTACGAAGGAGGGTAAACCACTTCGGGGGAAAAATCTAAAATTTCAGCCCGCACCCGGTCAAGACGCCAGGCATGGGGCTCTAGAGCGAGGTGCAACTATGCAGTTTCGGTTTGAGAGTTTGGGTGCAGGTTCCGCAAACGTGGATGAGCTGAGATTCAGAGACATGAAATTCCCGGTATGTATACTAGATGTTTCTTCCCTGAAATCATGGGCCTCCTTACTAGTAGCAGCCCAGTTGTTTGTAATGATTCACGCATTCTCTCAGGGATCTTAGTCGCGGGGCGCAGGGTGTGAGAAAACTGCTGCAAACGAGGCTGTGTGGCCATCGTCCGCTTGCCGTCAACAGCCACAACCCCTCAACCCAAACCCTCCGCCCCCAAACAACTTTAAACCCCGAAACCCTAAATCCTTAGATCCTAAAGGGCTAAAGCCAGACTGCGAGGCCTCGGCCTCCTCACGCGAAGTTGATCTCAATGAGCTGGCGGACGAAGCGTCGGAAAACTGGGCCCCAGACATCAACAGTTGTGAACGGCTCTACCCGGACTACCCAGGGGCATCTAAAATCTAAACATTACATCATTTGGCTTTGTGTTTGTGAAGCACTGAAGCACTAGATCCACCATGCAAACCCAGAATTCCCCCCATATATTGCCCTATAAGTATAATCCCTGACTTCTCGCCCATGTCGCTGTACGGAATCTAGACTTTAAATCCCTTGGGTCTGGTAGGGTTGAAGGATTAATTGAGGTCTTGGGCTGAACCCACAACTCTAGACCTGCGCGGGTAATTTTGGGAAAGACTGTAATGAAACCGCAAAGGTAAACCCTAAACCCCACAAAACCGACCGCCTAATCCCAAACCCTGAAATACCCCGAGCCCTACACACCAAGGCCCTCAACCTTAGACCCTGAACCTCAAGAAGATCGGGCAACAGCAGGCCAGTCGATGACCTCGTCCAAGCTGGTGCAGCGCTGACCTCTGGGTTTCAAAGGCCTATATTATGGTGTATTATAGTATATCATTATGGTATATTATAGTATATTATGGTATATTACGGTATATTATGGTATATTATGGTATATTATGGTATATTATGGTATATTATGGTATATTATGGGGTTTAGGGGTAGACCCCAAAATAGTATAGTCCTTAGTAGAGGGACCCCCGAAAAGGTACCCCTAATTTTGAGAAACCCCCATAAACTCAAAGGTCTAGGGGACGCGGTTTCAGTGTTCAGGGGGTGGGATTCACCGAGGATAAGTCTGAAAGCACACGCAGAATGGAAATCAGAAACAGCATAGAACATTCCGGGATGATTCACGAAAACAGGAGGCTTCACTCAGTCTTTAAGCAAGATTCCCATTGTTCCAGGTGCTGCGCCATTCATGCCCCAAGCTCCAAGCATGTAAAGAAGAGCAATGAGCTCACCCACTAGTCGTGACCAAAAGGGATACTGGTCATCATATGAGTCCATGGGACTTCTATTATACCACTATCAGCACGTCGTGGCTTTGCCGACCTGAGAATTAATATCAAGGTCTGTCCAAGCAGGATGCACAGTGATTTTGGGTGTCTCTCTCTAGGATCTTACGGGCAATGTGGAGAGGCTTCCATATAATTCGAATTCGAAACACAAAAGTGTCCCATGGTGATAGTCCCCGCGTTTTTGTACTGAGCACGTACTGTAGTTCACGTGTTTGGCTAAGGCTGGCAACAGAGGTTTCGTCCCGCACATTTATTGGTGATCCCGGTTGAAGTGGGTCTGATGGTTTGGATGGTATTTGGGACCTCCAAGCGTCGGGAAATACCCACTTCCTGCATACAGTTCAACAAGGACTTCACCAGCCAAAAACATCTCCACCGCGACACGCAAAGGTCCGTGCCAAGGCACGGTGCTTTATCACACTCAGATCACGCTAAACCCAGCGCATGGATGGGGACCCGCAGACATGGCTCCGCAATTGGGAGCTCCGAATCATCCCCACAAAATTCCCATCATTCGAACAGAGCCCTCTAACCTCCCCATTGCAAAGCCCCTAGACCCTCTCTTTGCACACGAATCCTATTCGAACAAGGCGCAAGACGTCTGGACGCCCATCTTCACATTCTGTCGGCGCTCGAGCCGAAACGGGAACACCGCTCTGATGCACCGGGGGCAGTGGCGGACGCATAGCCATATTAGGGGTTTTCCAGCAATGAGCGGTCCCTCATGATGAGGTTTCTAGAATGTTGAAGTCCTTGTTTATCGGCCCCTATATTTGTGGAAGCTACCATTCGGACAGAGTCAGGTTCTCCCAAGTGATGATAGAAGCAGCGCCCCCTTCCTTTCACGGGTTTTGGGGATTGATACAAGGATAATCGACTGCCGAACGGCATCACTGTTGATATCTGTTGATAAGATGCTCCGACAGCGGCTTGTAACTTTGACAGGATTGAAAGAGTACTACCCTCAAGACAACACACCGAACAGTGCCATAGCTTCTTCCTAGTTACAACGAGAACAACACTCAAAGCTCGAAATCCTGAATCCACTGTTCAGAGGATCTCATATTCTTGAGCCACTCTGAAACCCAAGATGAAATAAGTGCTGCGGCTCTAAACCTGGACCCTGCCAAGTCGCACAGACCCTTGTATACAACTCCTACAACTGCATAGCAGCGTTTAGAGTTCGCAGCATGGTTGAGGGGAGCTTACGGGCCCCGAAGCCCTCAAAGCACTAGATCCCAACAAACACAATAAAAAAAAAACCTTAGACCCCTCAAACCTTACAGCCTATTCCCGGCCCTAACCAACAAATTGGCTCCTAAACCCTCCTGGGCTCTCGCACCCATGGCACCCACCACAGACACAGGAGGCACAGGGCTAACAGCCCAGCCGGGCCTGGTTCAGGCTTTCAGAAATTGATTTGGGGTTTATAGGGGTATATAGGGATATGTCGGTTGAGGGTTGGGAAGCGGTTTTTTGGGGCTCGGGGAGTCGGGGCTCAAGGCGTAGGGTTGGGGTTGTAGGGTGTTGGGTGTGTTTCTCCGTGGAGTTCAGATGCTCTATCGAGTCTTTTAGAGTCGCGGTGTTGCAGGCAGCATGGGATAAGGATAAGGTGGAGCTCTGGAAAGCTTGCATGGTTGAGGAGTCTCAGGGTTTAGGTCGTATCTCCTGGACCCGAAGTTGCATTAGACTAATAATTCAAAAGCCCTTCAATGCCGATGAAGTTGAGCAATCCTCAAAACGTTTGCCTACCAGAACGAGATGCGGTGGCACTATATGTAGGAGCCCTGTTAGTGATCGAGGGGGGATAAACCCTTCCCCACAATACTGAAGATCCACCACCCAACATTAGATGTACGATACAAGGGTAAGGGCAATAAACAAGCCGGAAGCACAGGACGCCGTTCCCAATGCACTGGTCCAATGGATAGATCCTTGACTCGATGTGCGAGCTGAGCACGGAAAATCACGGAAAATTTGACATAGCTACCATGGGACGTCAACGCGGTTCGAGGACTAAACCCTGAGCCCTATCTTGTAGCCAAATATACTCCCGAAGCTCGAGGCCTGTAGGCCATTAATCCAGACCCCCAGCCCCAAGCCCCCAAAACTACATCGTTGGCCCAGGCGCCAGGGGCAGAGGGGCATTCCCGGAACTGTCGCCACGCTGGAGGTCGACTGGTCCATGGTGGGCATCAGGCTGTGGGAGCTTTAGATTACAAGGGGCCTCCACTCTGTAAAGGTCCCTGACGTGGTAACTATAGCACACCAAGGGTGCTGCACATGATTGTTGCAAAGTCGGGCAATAGTTACTGGAGTTGGACGAGGAGTTGAGGTTTTGGCACATTCTTGGCTCCTTGTTGGGATATCAGTCACACATACATACATACATACATACATACATACATACATACATACATACATAGGTACACATGTACACACAAGACTTTCGAATTTCTTCTTCGGTTTGAGATGTCGAGGCTTGGGATTCAGGAGCTGGGGTCGAGCGCGAAGCAACGCGAGCTATGAGTTTGGAGAAGTCAAAGCTGGAGGGCCTATCACCGGCATCCCGATGTTCCCGATTGAGTACTCCATGGAATCTTATACGACACCCCAACCTATCACTCCCTGTCCTCAAGTTCTGGTCTTGCTAGGGTACGGGTTATATGGGATCCTATGATGATTGGGAGCAGAATTCGAAGCGGCCACGATGTTGACGACTCCGTTGCGTCTCCATGAGGTTACGCAACCCTAAGCCTTCAACCCCAAACCCAAAGAAGTTCCCCAAATTCTTAGCTCCAACAAGCCCCCCAAAACCTGCACCTCAACACACACTCACCCAGTTAGCTTCGAAAGCTTTCACGGGCCTTCATGGCCAAGGTGGGGTCCATCATCCGGCCTGTCAGCAGGTTCGGCAGGGGCGCCTGCAAGCAAGAGATAAGGCTGGCGGGTTTTTGGGGGTTTATGGGGTTCAGGCGATCACAGAGATGCTAATGGGGTACATGAGGGCTCATCATGAAGGCTCTAGGGGCCATCACCCGGGCTTCAGGGCCTTTCTGGACACAGCAATAAGGATAACACACATTCGCATAGTCAGTGAAGGAGTGCAGGTTTTGTTAGAAGTAGAGCAATCGTAAAAGCGTTGTACTTAACCAGCTATTGTCCCCCTTGAAGCTTCTGGGATATGATCGCGAGGTTCAACACACATGTGTACGTAGGTAGGATAACTAGCAGACCCCAAACCAAGGATTGTCTAAGCCCACTGCGAAGGACCCATGAACAGCAACCCCAAGCAGAGGATGTTAAGGTCGGAGCCTCAAGAAGCAGAACAGTGTTGAGGTAGCAGACACCAACTTTCAGGATTGCATAATAATGCCAACTTAAAGAGGTAATGGTACTTTATGGGTACATTGGGTATAATGGGTATATTGGGGACAATGGGTATACTGGAAAAGAAAATGGAAACTACTATAGTATAATGGGGAACTACTAAGTCTCCAGTCTTTTCCTCCAACCCTAACCCCCCATCCAAAATCTGAAGCTCTGAGCACAAGGCCTGTTGCGGCTGCGTAGCTTGCTGAGTTTGCGCTTGGCCAAGGGTCTGCTGCAGTAGTAGGGTCCTGGCATGCGGGGATGGGGCTCAGGGCTTAAGGCTCAGATCTCCGCGCGCAGGATTGAGGGGAAAGTTTGAGGTCAAGGGCTCAGGGCACAGGGGTGTACCAGGAGAATATCTTCACAAGGAGGTGATGATGTAGGAATGATTTGGGGGAACTGACAAAGGGAGTTTCTCAAGATGGGGGGCCCTGCTCACAATATCAACTTGAATCAGGGAAGCCTAATGTCTGGATATCCGCACATCTGAATTGGGAGTTGTCCTCCTGCGAATGCATGATACTGCACTGCGCGTTCCGCGCCCAATCCCACGACAGTACCCCCCAAAAAGGGCTGAGGCCTGCCCCTCATAAAACCACATGGGACTACGGTCTTTACAGGGTTTAGGGTTTTGGGGTCAAGCCAGCTAAATACCTCACACTGTAGGACAGCTTTTTTCTCTATGAGCTGCAAGGAAGGTTACTATATGGATTCCTAATATTGACACCCTAAGCGCTGAACACTCATCCTTTCACAGCTGTGCAGACACGGCGCTGGATGGTCTGCTGATTCTTCTGATTCAAGAGCTGCTGCTGCAGCTGCTGCTGCCTGGCACAGTCGCCAGGTTTGAGAGAGGGGTGGATGGGAGGGTTGAGGCTTCAGTTTTTGTTCACACCCCTTGGAATGCATCCCCGCACCCATCAAAAGTGGCTACCAAAGGTTTTGTTGGAAACTTGGGTGTACAAAAACATCTGGGTTGATGGCGTTAGCTGACTGCTTGTGCTCAAAGTGCCTTCCAGATGCAAGTGTGCACTGAACATTCGCTCTGAAAGATCGCTGTTGCCGCTACCTAGTCGGTTTCCTATCAAAAGCCAGGCGCGATCTCTTCAAAAAACAGG